GTTATTAGATTAAGCTGAATATATACTTAGTTAAGGTCTGAAGCCATATGCCATTGTTCATGTCAGAAGAACAGATTCATACGTACTAGTAAATTGTGTACACCTTATTCGGTTTGTCAATTACAATTTCCTAGTTATTCACGGCTTTCCCACTTCCATAGAATTTTGGGCCAGTATATAGATAGGGTATGCAAAATTATATGAACCGGACAACAGTGTAACTTGATGGAATACTCCTAATTATTCAGTTGGCAAAGTGTATTTTGTAATCATATTAGAACTTTAATAATAAATTAAGAAAGGGAATCTGAACTCTTCATATCGATGAGATTATTAATTTATTGGATACTTTCTCGTGATTTATACGACCTGTCTTCTTCAATTCTAATTGGATTGAAAATGTTTAGTTGAATAACATCAGTTATATATATTTCGACCAAATAAATCTGAATTAAATCAGATTTAATAGGGAGAGATGTTCTTTTATAGTTTAGTTAATAGACTACTAACATCGATATCCTATATACTGATGAATGAAATTAAGAATCAAATAAAATTACTCAAATTTAATTACCATTTATTTATTTATTTTATTTTAACACATAGACATTGGTACAAGGAGGCACCAAATACATATGCCCCACACAAATCTCATTCGATATGTGTGAAGGCTGTGATACTGCCCGGGTGCCCAAACCGAAGCAGGTGGTTTTCTTAGGGGGCCACTGCCCGAGCCTTCGACCTGGAGGTCTGATCCACAAGGCAGTGGAGCATCGTAAGGAGATGCAGTTCCATGGAAGCCGGTGACCAACGATTGGTTCATACGCCATTTGTTCCCGCAGGATACTGGATCCCATGTGCACCATTGGTTTGGAATCCGATTAAAGCGCCGGACATTCGCTTTTCGTCCTCTCATTTTCGTAAACAACACCCCTGGTGTGAGAATGCAATGAGTAGGACTTCCCTGGCAGGGGCTATATACGCGCGGCCGTGTGAGAGTATTTCGAGAGGGAGAGCGGACTGTCCCCACTCTCGGCCATACCAGGGCATTTGGGGGCAAACCATTGTCTATAAGCAGCTAGTTTAACAATACTTCATATTAATTCACTTGGTGTTGTTTTACTTGTATCTTCCCATTGTTATTTAGGACTGCAATTGATCAGTCTCATTTTGGCGTATGTGCATCATATTAAGCTTCATATTAATTCGTACACTAACCATTGTCATCAGTGAGTTACTATCTCACAACAGACATATTTGAACTCCACTGGTGAGGAGTCTCATACTAGAATGAAACAACCGTCCAGTGCTTACAGGTTTTGTTATATCCGAGCGAAGATTAAATTACGAGTAACTTCTGAGACATATTAATTGACTAATATTATCTATACATTCTTATGGTATAATTATTCAATAATTAAATTATGTATATTTATATTCCTCTTATTATAAGCTTTATTTTGACCTATAATTTATTATTGTACGATTTAATGTTCTTAATCTATAGTCAGTTTATTGACTACTGCCTCCCACGTTCACAGTCACTTTTTGGTTTTATTGTGTACAAATGTTATTTCCTATTTTATGGTGCGTTGCGATATGTATGGTTGATATATAAACCCAGTATGTCTGAAATAAATGGTTCGATTCGAGTCGCATAGTGGAAGCTGGTACTAGTGTTCTGGACTCAAGTGGACGGGCTAGGCGGACATAGGACCATTAAGGACGCTAGGCTGCTCATACCGGTCGAACGTCATTGATTTAGCACAGTGCTAGGATTTTATAAGTCTTATTTTGATTGATGGATAAATCACGTGATCAAAAGCCGGACATAAAGTCACAACAGGTTTTCCATGGCGGTCTAGCTTCAATTGACTCATGAATCGAACTCTTAAATTACTATAATATCCGTCTCACGAGATTCGGATCCAGGACCCCTATGTGATTATAATTGCTTTAAATTTATTAACAACTATTTAAATAATTAATTAACAGACATAATCATGAATATATAATACAATATTATTACTGCTTACTTGAATGATATTCATCGGATTTATCAAAAGGTAATGGAAATCTTAATGGAGTAGGAAAAAAGTACTCTGGTTTTACATGTGCATTAAAATGTATTAATTTAGCATTTGGATATTGTAATACAATATCGTCACGTAATGTTTTTTTTTCGTCTGTAATTATTATTATTATTATCATCATCCCTATTCAGTAAAAATTCCCATACAACTGGACAACGTTCACGCATTGAAAATGCACTTAGTTGAATATTCCATTTACAAGGTATTTCGTATAACCAATGTTTATTTCGATTCAATACAGCGTTGATAACATCCTGTAAGAAAAAAATAATTTGCGTTACAGTAATTATTTGACTTATGCATCAAATTGTTACAGGATTGAGATATATATGTTGTAGTCGAAGTCTTAATTAACTGTGATGTGATTGATCTGCCAAATTCAGTTACCTATGAAACTTAATAATATTTTATACGCATATTTGCTAGATTCGGTTCCTAAGCTCTTCTAGTAACCTCTAGGCTAAATCTACACAGCGACTTGAATACCAGAGAAAAGGTGCGAAATATGGAATAAACGCTTTACTCCAAAAGTTTGTTTACTTACAGAAAATCTAGGGTTTTTATAGTATTTTAGATGGTCTTGGGTTTCCAGAAAATTCTGGAACCCTACTATAAATAGTTGCAGTATAGATAACCATCCAATCAGAAACGCGATATGTGACCTTTAACTTTCTAGATGGTTCTGGCAAGACGTCTACTGAATGCTAAGTGTTTTCAGAGCTGCTTTTGACTTTTTCTAGGAGTTTTCTAGATCTCCCCAACAATTTGAATGTGCAGTTTAACAGAAATTGGTCGCCAAGTATGTAGAAGACATTATTTGTCGAAACGATTGGAACGGTTGAAATGTATTCGATTCTAATGTTCCGTCCACAAAACGTTTCCGAAATTCTTCAGAGTCATAATGAAATCAAAATAATTTTTGTAAATAATGTTTTAATAATGGTTGTTTCTCAATTAATATTTTGTATATAAATATGTTATTTTACTAGAAGTAACTTATTCTTCTGGGTAAGAATCTTATCTAGATGTCAGTTTAATTCAGAGATTACGTCAGTAATTAGGTTTTGTAAACAATTATTACTCGGCTATACTGTATCACGACGTATTATCAATCGATAGGAGCAAACCATTCATTGATGTAAAAATTCTTCAAATATCTTTTCATTACAGATCCGGCAATCCAATTACATAACACTGTAGTTAATATTCATATGTACTCATGAATAAGGAATATACATGTAAGAGGGATTTTATTTTCTATTCACTGAAAATCTTGTATAACATAAAACTTATCACCATTTCTTATCACATTCTATAGTCGTTATATTAAATAAAGACTAATTAACGATAAGGATGATGTGGTGCGATAAATCGACTTAATCTCTCTAAGGTCATCTTAACTACTAATACACACTTCTGATAGCTAACCAATTCAACTGTACGGACAAATATCCGAGTATATTAAAGTTAACAACTAACAGTCTGATAGAGTTTAGACATTTCATGTATTTGTGCTGACATCCGTGTCCAAGTCAAACAGTAAGCGTGAGAATATCAACAAATCTTGCTATTGGAAGATAATGATTATTAATGCAGTCAACATCTCAGCCTATATTTTCTTGTCTCGGTTAAAAAGACCTACGCTTCCATTTTTCACTTTTAGTTTCCTAGTCATTTCTAAGTTTTCTAACTAACACTAGTCGTTGGGCAAGCGAAAAGCTCACATATCTATATCTAAATTAAACAATCGTAGGAATGTCACTAATAATTAGTTTAATTCAAAGACAATTCTCACTGAAATTGAATTCAACTGGAGAATCTTTCAAAATCAAATGACATTAGATAACTGTGTGATACTGGACAAGAGAATTAAAACGAAGACCTTCAATTCTTGAAGTCTAAACACAGCAAACTTTGATCAAATAAGTCATATGTGTCTGTATGACTGGAAGCTGCTAAACGTTTGAAGATTACCATTAATTAGTGATTATCTATTGTTCCCTAAACTGGAATATATTTCTATCAACTGAAATCAAGTACTGTGTTTCAATTAATTTTAATATTTTCGATGATATTTAGCAAAGAAACAATCTTCACGATCCTCTACTCAAGTACTAAAAATACATTTTAAAAGCACGTCCACATACATATATACATGCTACAAATAAGAGAGAAGAATTTCAAATATTTACTGTACACAGTTTTTGGGTTAATTAGCACTCTTTAGTCAAGGGTATTTAAAGTAATAAAATAAAATTTACTATTTGACAGATTCGAACTCGTGTCAACCACTGTTATAGTAATGGAGGTTTTTTTAAGTACTTGAGTGGTGGGATTGTAGTGAACAAGAACATTGTGGGGATAACCATCTGCAGTTTAATGTAACATTACAGAATCTCTTAGTAAGATCTGAGAAGTATACAATAAATACTTCATTTGCAAAATATCTATCATTTATTTCAGACTGCGTTGTTTCTTCGTTTCCATACTAATCAAGCTCTGTTCTCATTCTCCTCTCTTCAATCTTTTTAACCTTCAGGCATCAGGTATTTCACTTTCGATCGATGCTACATACTACTTATATCTGTCGAAATCAGTACCACATACCACGAATTAGGTAATGCAATTAGCTGACATACAGCCATCGATTAATGTAATTGGTTAAAATTTTAATTGAATTAAAACTGTTATAATTGATCTGTGTTTTACATATATGTACTCATTCGCATATATTATAGAGAATGGTACGATATGTTGCATAATATTCTATTACATTTGGTCTTAATTGATCAAATAGTTAGCTTGTGTCTCAGTTAATTAACTTACAGATCAATAGTTAATGAAAAACAAACAAGTTATGTGATGCCTTGGGGGCCACATGATAAGATCGATGTAAGTGTGGGTACGGAACGATCGTAAATGAATTATTCATTTAATGGCTCTGTATCTAACTCCAGTTAAATCGTATGGTGATTGTTATCGAAATAAACATGCCATCAAGCGTCGTACATTTCTGAAGACTTAACTCGCATTAGAGAATAACGTAATGAAATGAGCCAAATAGGAAAATGAATTGCAAATACATATATTTCGCACACTCGTTGATCCGGGAAGACAATCAGAAAAATTAAGCGAAACTATACGAAGTGATACGCAGCACAGATGATGAGTGAACCAACCCATTTTGTTGAAGTATGACTCAATACCACTAGTCAGTAGAATAAAATCAATTGCTTATTTACAAAATACTAAATACAAGAACAAAATGAAATGTCATAAAAGTTGGACAAGATAAGTTTTGTAGATTACATTCTGCTTAATGAATTACGTTTTAATTGAGCAAGAATGCCTGGATGTTTGGGATGAGTTACTCTCCCTCTAAATGCAAGTTGTTCTTCCAGGAATGGCCTGCGTCAACACCTGAACTAAGAACAACTCCACTTATCTTTGAATTCTGATCAGCCCTAATGAGTTGGTGTCTGACGAAATTTCAGCACGGATTCAAAAGGCTCATTTGGCTTTTTCCAACTTACGTCACCTATGGCGTAGGCGAAATATCCATCTATCAATTAAGGTACCAGTATACTGCACGGCAGTTCGTTCTGTTCTACTTCACGGATACGAAACCGTGACCGTTAAGAGAAGAAGATACCCGTAACTTACTAGTATTCGGTCACAGATGTCTTAGAAATATTGCTCGCATCTGCTGGGATCACCGGGTAAGTAATAGTGAGGTTAGATGCAGGGTATTAGGGAATGATGGTAAATCAGTTGATGAGGTTGTAAATCTTCATCGACTAAGATGGCGGTTGGGTCACGTGTTACGTATGCCTGACAAAGATTACCACGACGTTCAACGCTAACTAGTGTTGGAGACGGCTGGAAGAAAGTTAGGGGCGGTCAAATCAAAACGTGGCATCACTGCTTGAAGTCACTAACTTCTGGTTTAAGCCATGTTGGTAGATGCAGACTACTTGGCTGGGGTCATGTAAGATCAATCTGTAAACTTGTTGTGAACAGTATCCTACAAAAATCTGACTTCGATACGAGGGCGAGATTATAATTTATGGATGAACTAATCAGATTTAAGATAACAGATCTTGGGTTTTGGCACGAAATTCATTCATTCATTTCGCTAAATAGTGTTTTAGCATTATAGCTTATGCCAATTCATAATGAAAACCCTAAATCTAATTCCTAACCCTTAACCATCAACTGTAAATCATAATTCTAATTCATCACAGTGGTTTAAAACCCTCATTTACCACTAGTACGTAGGTGAACACTTTCAAGGTCATCTTAGCATCGCTCAAAGACCGTCCATAAATTATAGTTTCACCATTCAATTTTTCACCAAATACATGAATTTATCAAAATGATGAGTGAAACAAATTGTTCACATGGTATCTCAAGGCCAAACGATAAAATAGATGTTAAATAAGGTATGTTATTGAATCAAACCATTTTTAAGGTCATAGCATACAGATCTTTATCTTCATCAAAAAGTCAGATGTATTTATATTGATGATTTGTATAAACTTTATTCAATTGTCATATGAAACTTCGTAGTCATTTCTTAATCTTCTCATTTATATAACTATATAGACAAATTCATCTCTATAGCATGATTATCTTATAGGGTCAGTGAAATGTCACTGAGACCATAGCCAAATCATCCGGTAGTTGGGTCACCGAATATCGAACAGATCATCGATCCCCGTCAAGGTCAAGGACAACCAACGCGCATCAGTTAATCGTATTTCATAGACTGGCGCATGTGGTGGTGGTCTCGCTATCCTCTCTGTACTCATTCTTACTAATATATTTCCATAATAACGTCCTTTGTGTTATACGGTCTTCAAAGTATCCATAGTACCTTGATACGTCGAAGGTGTAATCCACGTTAGATGCTGACTGCGAAGTGTGACTTCGAAGTTATCTGGTTCGTCACACGAATTCCATCTAACTCGAGTAGACCTCTAATCATTCGACATCATTTACGTTGGTGATCTACAATCTGTATCTAAATTAAACTAACATTTACGTTGGTGATCTACAATCTGTATCTAAATTAAACTAACATAAAAAACAGGCACACAAAAACAAGAACGCATCTATAACTAGTTTCTATAACTTATTAATTAATGAATTAATTTATTGCTTACTTGTTCACCAGTTGGTAAAATGCGTTCTTCTCTCATTAAATTGAATGCAGTTTTCATCCAAATTTCATCCCAACCTCTTGCTCGTAATTTAGTTAAATGAATTAATAAAATACCAGCATTATAACCGTAACCCTTTATTTCATTGTTGTTGTGAGTTGTGTTTGTTTTTCCAGTAATGTTTGTGAGAAATTATAAAAAAAATATAAAGAATTAACTGAAAATATTCATTCAGTACAATGGTTAAAGAGATTGCCGAATTTCACTGAGATAACCATTGAGAACTTGTAGTGATTAAACAATTGTTTTGTTGTAGTATGTGGCTCTGTAGAAGTGAGTATCCAAGACCTTAAGGTCTCTTTCAAGAACATTTACATAAGAGTAGTACACCATGAAATCATGATTCGACGATTAGGTTTTTACACTTGATAATGAAGATGTTGAGTTCAATCCTAAGTGACGGAATAGTGAGCTTATACTGTTAAGAAGTCCTATATTAGGACGAAACGACCATCCAGTGCTTACAGGTTATCGATAGTTATCTAGCTTTAAACGAATAGGTTAAATTTTTGATTATTGGTATGAATGTAATATGAAATTTTTACAAGGCATATAAATTATTTGATGTATTCTGTGATAGGAAATAGAATCCTCTGCCGATATGTATCAAAATATAGGACAAAACAATTACAAAATGCTTTTTATAGTCAATATAAATGTATTAGAAACTATCTCGCACATACATCAACATACCAAAGTACAATCTTTCAATAAATGGCATCATGCACACTGGTTATGGACTTTTATCTGCATGTAGATCTTGTGATAATGGTACTACTCTCCAACATCATTTTTTTATTATAATAACTATAAATCAGTTTATTATTGAGGTTTCTGTTATAGCTTGTGGCCTTATGTCCTATGAATATATAAACGACCGAACCAGAGACGCGTAAAACCGTACGAACAATCTAGAGTCCATATCGGTCCTTCTTCCTACCTAGCCCTGCCTATTGAGTTCAGAACACCAATCTCAGCCTCTGTGATATGAATAAAATATTTCGAACATACTGGGTTTATATAAAAACCAAACAGACCAGAACACCATAAAATAGAAAATAACATTTGTACAAAATCAAACCAAATGTGGCTGTGATTGTGAGAGACTGTAATTAATAAACCGGGCATAACTTAAGAACAGTAAGTCGCATTATAATAGTCTATAAGTCAAAATAAAGCTTACAATAAGAGGAATATGAATATGCTTAGTTAAGCTACTTAATAATTATACAACAAAATCATATGTATAGCATTAGATCATTAGTAGATCCCAACAGTTCATTATTCTCGTCGAAATGCATCAGTTTCAAACTGCTTATAGTTTTCCACGTAACAGGTTTTATTCAATATTTACATTGAAATTAACAATATATGACTTCTTATGCAATACTAAGTATTAAATCTTTCCGAAAAGTATTGTTAGTCAACTAATCTGAATCAATAATTGTACAAATGAACGCACTGTTCTACTATCACTATCTGGAGAACAAGAACTCAGGTGGAGACAGTCAATCGATTGCTTAATTGCTTAGTTGTTTGATAAACTGTGGAAACCATACATTGAATACTTCATTTGCAAATCCTCCATCAATTGTTTCAAACTTGGTTGATCTTTTATCGATATTACAATTACTCAATGTTCATATTTCCGTTCTCTTTAATTTGATCTTTTCAACCAGGCATTCCACTTTTGATCATGTCTATCGACATGAGTAACACACCACAACTACATACTTATACATATGAAAGAAAGTGAACAGCTCAGCTTTCATAAAAGAAATGTTAGTTTAATTATTTTAAATATAATTTCATATGTAGCGATCCATGATGTCTGGTACTATGAACGCTTACGACATCAACGTCCTGCTAACTAAAAAAAATAAACCATTACTAATATACAAATCGTGAACGTGAAACATGCTGAGAAATAGGAATCATATCAAAGCTCTGATTTTTAGTTACTTTCCGTCTAAGTACTCATATTTTATATTCTATAGTTGACTAGAGTCAATTTCAATGAGGATGAGTCGCTTTATCACAAGGTGATATTCAATACAAGTAGATAATAGATAAACAATCACTGGAAAGTATTTTATACTAATTAGTTATCCATGTTTATTTGATGGTATCACAATTGATTAAGTGGACACATTATATATTTACGAATCTCTCGGTGAATAAGATTAATTCCTGTATTATGTGGAACAATTCAAATTCACTACACCATATTGTGCTTAAGAAGACATAACTATTTATCATAGGGTTAATAAATGAATACTTATTCCCATTTACGATAAATTTAACGTAAAGAAATATATATAGATGCATCTATATATTCACTTTATAATCAAACCTACAAACAGTGATCCAATCAAAAAATCTAGACTTACCAATGCTGGCCAAAACCTTTTTCCCATATTGCTGTAGAAAGTTGGATTCTGTTCCGCGGCAATACCGATACACTATGAAATTATTTAAAAGTAGGCGATTTTCAAATTATCTTGTATACACAAGAACGAGGAGAGGAAACAAACGTCAATAAAAATAATATTCAACATTCTGATTTTCAGTAATGATTAGTCCAAGTCAATAATCTTTTAACGATAAACAAGTCCTAAAAAAATACATAGTTCAGTAGATGTTCAAAGTATGATTCTAGGTTTGTCAATTTTATTGAACTAAAATACTTGGAAATAGATTAACAAACTATATAGTGAGCTTTGGCATCTTGTCATACTCCTCGTGTTGATGTGATCAGTTCTTCAGCTGGTCTACTGAAACATCTCTCTCTCTTTGCTTAAATAAACCTAAAGCTGTCTTGCTTTCTTTGTTGGCTAAGATTGATTAAGTAATTATGAAGTGTTGAGATCAGATATATTGGGACTTTGCTACTAGCATTACCGACATTTGTTAACATCCAACTTTTGAGGCTATATTGATTCCATGAAGTGTAACTAATATTATGTAACATATCCTAAGGTTTTTTGACAATAAACATTTTTATGATTCATTATTCATAATTAAATTTGTTTGTTAACAAACTTAGTTCTTAACATTTTTTTCAAAGTGAGTTTTACAAAACGTTTTCAAATTCTTGTGATATGTGGTAGTGAGAGTAAAATGTGATCGGTCATTGGGGATGGATAAACATGCACTTATTCTACCGAGTGTTACCTTGTGATTTCCTTTCCTGTAATTGATTTCTACTCCAAACTCACTGATAGTGACAGCTTGAAATTGTGTGGAATAAAGTATTATCTACATTTACTATAGTCCTCTATTCTTAGTTATGGATCGTATATGTGATATATCATGAACTAATCGCTGTATTGTGTACCGTTCAGGTATCCAACCTTGCGTAGTAGTATACAGCAGAAAGAAAGAGAGAAGAATATTTCAAACCATCCGTTATATCATCTTAGCAACATTTGGTAAATGAAGTCGACATGGAATATGTATACAGCGCAATTAAGTTGTTGATCTCCATTAACTTCTTTATAAGGTAGAAAATGATTACTATGTATGATTTTATTATTTTTTTCATTTTAATTTGACATGATCCGTACAGAATAGAATTTTGATGAATAGGTATGAATAGTCGTTGAAATGATCTCCATTTAACAATTGTCTATAACTGCATATTGTTAAGTGTCTTCGTTCAAATATTATTAAAATTTAACAAACAGATAAAACAATTAATTGTATAAAATTTACTGTTACAAAAAACTATTATGACCAATGGAGTCCGATCCGTGTCGGATAGAGACAAGTATCTACCATAGACAATGGATGGATGGTTGCGCAGCCATCCATGGATCGATAGAAGCTAGACACTAACACCATCGGATGCCAGGTCAATGGTCTATAGGTTAATTGTTCTCGCATGAGACCGAAGGTCCTGGGTTCAAATCTCAAGTGAGGGATCATGAATGCGCACTGCTGAGGAGTCTCATACTTGGACGAAACGATCGCACAGTGCTTCCAGATTTTCCATGGTGTTCTAACTTACATCAACTTATGAATTCAACTATTAAAATAACCATACGAAAAAATTAGTCTAATGATTAAGTTATTCTTACTTGATCCTTGCTGAGTTCGTCAAATATGCTCCATAGATTTGATATATCATCATTCAATAATATATCTGCATCCAGTACAATAACCTAATTTTTTTTATAAAAATATACGAAATAAAATGATTTTGGTTAATATTCAGTATTGAAATAAAGAATTAGCTTGCTATAATGAACAGTCAAAAACCAAATTGAGATCAAAATATGAGCATTCACGTCTTGAGGATAGAATGATGAGTGAGTTTAATATCATCAGTGGGTAGCTGTTTGACCAAGTACATAGCCATTTTGTTATTCATTACATTATAAATTGTTGTTGTATTTGTATAGTGATTAGTTATGTAGAAAAATAAACATGGTGACTATAGTTACATCAACTAAGAAATGAACGTATTCCACCTAGAGGATTCTTTATCGGCATACAAGTGGAACTGAAAGGAACAAGTTTAAAGCTGATAAATCATCAAACTGACGTCTTTAAACAAAAGATTGTTGTGTTATATTCGCTTCTGTTCATGATTAAACATTATGAATTTTAAAACATAAAGTATACATTTTTCCATTTGTATAATGGTTGGATCGATTCGATACTGTTATATACAAAGAACAATAAAGGAATGGTGACTTCCAGGACTAATTTATGGACTATTGTCATACATATGTTCTCATTGTATAATTACAGAGCAACTAGATTATCATATGTATTTATCCTTTTTATCATGAGCTTTCGTCTGACTCACTAACTACTGTTATATGATATATTGTTCCTCATTTGCTTCCAGTCTATTACTCACATCTTCCTTTATTCACAGCCATTTTCTAGCTTGATCATGTACAATTGTTATGGTATGTCTTTATATAAACTACACATCTTTGAAATATAATATTTGTGTAGTGGAAGCTGAAAACTGTTATTCTGGTCTCGACGGGTAGGGCAAAGAAAAAAGCTAGAAAATCCTAAAACAATTAGATCTCAACCTGCGATCCAAGGTCATTGGTGCTGAACGGATTCCGGTTGGTGTTTTTGTCACGTTATATTGGTCAGCGGCTATAAATCATAACGGATACAACAATAAAATGACTGAAACGACAGAGAGGACTGTCACATATCTCTAAAATCCTGAATAATAAAACATTTTTTGTATCTTTCTAAAATAATATGCTTAAACCACTAACAAACAACAGTTATTGCTTACTTTCTTGATTTCAGTAGGTAAAATTTGTGTACTTAATAATTTGAGATAACTTTTATGTCCAGCGTGATGTCCAGATTTAAATGTGTAGTGACTCACGTTTATCACGAGAACACGACTGGTTTAATAAAAACAATTATCATTACAACCAACTGTACCAGTGTTTGTTTTAATGTGCTTTTGTTTAACTGTGCTAATGACAGCTATTTTGTGCTTCCATTCTAATACATACACTTTGATTGTAACTTCGCGCGAATTCGGTTACGTCCTGTAACCAAGCTTGTATCCTGGCGCGATCTCGGTATCCTTTCGATGCCACGAGATCGCCAGCAAATAAACATCGACTTGGTCCATTAATTGTCTTCTGATATTTGGCTTCTCGGGGATTTTATGGAGTCATTTGGAACGAGCTTCTTACGCCTTCTGATCTAATTGGCACGTGTTTCTTGGTGGCGGTGTTCACAGTTAATCTCAACTCGACGCCACGCTACAATTGGTAATCCCAACACGAATACAAATGATTTGACCCGTGCCTGATAAAAAAAGAATTGTAAAAATAGTGATAATCCATGTGTAGTCTGAAATAACAATCGCCAAAATAAGCACCCTAAATCAGCTCGATTAATGCATATATAACAATAAAGCACCGTGAATTCACTATTTGCTTGCCTTTTCGTACACCATCTTTCCTACTAATTAATGTTCAATAGACAAAGGTATCAGTGCCAAGGATGGACCTGATAGTTTCAAATAAATTGAGTATCAGATATAAGGTTAATAATAAATATATTTTTTGTTGTATCCCAGTGGGGAGGAAAAAATTGTATTTCTGAGGCTTCGTAACTTGATGTAAGCCACTTTTTCAGAGAATAAATAATCATATATATATATATAGTTTTATTTATAACAATCTACCCCAGTGCTTTGGTATTGATACCTACTAACTTCATAAATGTTCCTACATAACCTTCATGTTGTTTGTAAATCTACGCGTTGGAAACTAAGTGATATACCATTATAGTGTATCTACCGAGCTGCCATTTTTTATTATACTCCAAAATTTATCAGTGATGAAATCACCTTTTTACTCAATTCAACTCCAGTAGCATGGTCTGTGTTAGATAAAACTAAACAAACGAAAAAACTAATCCTTAATACGTTAGATTACCAGTGAGTATCGTGTGTGTGTGTGTCTTAGACGCTTTCCTCATTACTACATAATGACATTATAAGCTCTTTCATATTAGCTGAAAGCGTCTTAAACTTTCTGTGAGGAAATTTGCTTCGAAGTTATTTCTTGATAAGTTTCTGTTATGACTTTAAGTTGGGTCGATTTTTACCCAGTGCTAATTGTTGTGTCCTTGACTAGAAAATTAGAGAGCAGCCTACTTATCGATCGATTACAGTGACACGTAAACACGTACGGACGGCCTAGAGTCTCGATTGGTCTCGCTTCCCTGTCTAGCCAAGTCAGTTGAGTCCGGAACACAAGTCACAACCTCTGAGATATGAATCACTATATTTCAACCATATTTTGTTTATATACCAATCAAGCATACCACATCGTACCATAAAATAGAAAACAACATTTTGTACAATATTCAACAAGTGAACAGATATCAACCAATAGGAAATGTTCATTTAAAGTCCAAGGACACCATTGGACTTAACATGATAATTATTGGTCTATTCCTCCGCATCCACAAGTTTCATTAAATGACTTTTTAAACACCAGACAATTATGTAAGTAAAAACACTGAAAAGTACTTTCATTAGCTTACTGAAACTTATATAGAATACCTGACTCATCTACTCTGAAATAAGGTTATTTTCTGTTTAATTTTCTACATTCTGCTGACTGGTACACGCAGGTGGTTAATATTTAGCTTAATTATCCGAGGGAAACTGACATACGCTACTGGTTGAAAAGTTGCCTTGATTTCCTGATGGAAATTTGTCTATATTAAGAAATGAGTTTGTGTATATTTCTTGATTGACGTTTGCTAATTAAAGCTTTCCACTCACTCTTAGTTTCCCTATCCAAGTACCAGGATGGACTGGTGTATAGGAAGTGTGTATATTAGTATCAAACTCGGACTACCATCTCAAAATACATTCCAACAAGTTCTCGTATGAGAAAATACTAGAAAATATGGATGGGATAAGAAGTAACAAACAAAATAACTGTCTTTCATAAATATTTTATGATTGCCTAATTTCGGTATAAATAGCTCACGGACTCTAATTAGCATAAAAAGTGCTGCTGAGAGATCGATTAGACTTTCAACAGTCATTCAGATAACAAATTTGAACTGTAGATAACAACAGCCAACAACACGGTTTTTAGGTACCGTTGTAGTGAACAAAGACTTCAGGTAGGGAAAGTCACTTTATTGATTGACGCGAAATTACTGAGTACTTTCGTAAAATATGAAAATCATTTATGAAATATATTATTTGCATGTCTTCTTTGTGTCGTCCTTGACATACTTCATGATTCTTTCAATTCTGTTAATATTACAATTGCTCTTTGTTTACAGTTCTGTTTTCTTCAGTTTAATCGTCTGCTGCCAGTCATTCCACTTCTGATTGGCGTTACATACTACTTGTTTGTTAACATAAGTAGCAGATTCCACACTGTTTCTCGGGCTTTAAATAGCCATAAATTGCCTATATATCTCATTAGCTGATTTGACAATGTTCTAAACAAATCCAACATTTAGTACACCTAGTCAATTCTAAAGTAATTAATTATGTCAACTAAAAAACAACAACTTTTAATGACAGGTTTTGTGATGTTTGGGCGAGAATGACAATGATTGGTTGTCTGTTTAGTCGACATGTAGATAGTCTGACAGGTGTCAGATTAGTTAGATATATTCCCTTATCCTTATTATTATAATTACTCATATATTATTGATTGTTCACTGTTGTTGGATTGTGTCGGGTTTTGGTGTGAAAATATATTTACGTTGTGATCAGGCTAATCACATGTTCTTGATCTGAGTTGTGGTGAAGTCCTATACAATAAACAATGGTAGGGAATCTAGTGTAGATATTCGTCGGCGAGACTCTAATTTATGGACGAGCCAATCAGAAGCATTTGGGATATTTCAAGGTCACGGCGCCAACTTCAGTGCTTAATGCTAACGTACGATCGGTTCACAAGGAATTTTGTACAAAACGTGATAACTGAGCGGCTATAACAAATAAAACGGTGAGACTTTAATTTGAGGAGGAATCAATCAGGTATAAGATAACAGATCTCAGATTTTAGCGCAAAAGCCTTCCATCTACTTGGCTTAATAAATTTCTGGCATTATAGCTGATGTCAGTTCCTAAGGCAAATTATGACAATTATCGCGAACTGGATAATAAAAGCACCATTAACACTGGTTGCAGCCAGGTACTACAATATGTACGGATGTTTGGAGAGCGTACAGACTCCTGCATAGGCTTGGTTATATGCATCGTGTCGTTATCCACAAGTAGCATTTTGTGTACTCAACAACTGGAGTGCGCATAAACAATATTGAAACTATGTGGTCGAGGCTGAAACGGTTTTTGAGATCTTATCATGGCTCCATAGGCCGACTGTTCTGTAGCCGTATGGATGATTTCCTCTACTGCATGCATTACGATTTTAGAATCTCTGAACCTCTTTCTAATCTTGACAAGTTTTTGAACACCGTATTAGAAGTGTATCCACTTTATTTCCTTGGTTTTGTATAATATATTTTTACTCTATGCTGACTGTTTGTTGATTGGCTAATCCTTCCCAAGGTCACTTAAGATTCGCTTAAAGGTCGTCCATAAATTAGAGTCTCGCCGAAGAAATTCACTGGAAATAATTATGACTGGTAATTTGTGAACTTATGCACTGATCTTACCATTTAAAATCTTATCAACATAATTCATTCATGTGTAAACTAATTGAATAAAGCATAAAGGATTACTTATACTATGATAATGTTTGATAAGTTTAACTACAATCAACTTACTTCATAGTTTTTAATTGGATAAAATTGTACACTGATCCCATCTAATCCCCAATCAGACATTAATCTATTCATAAATTCATATGGTAATTGATCAACAATAAGATGAAATACAATCGGAAATCGTTGACGTTTAGCTTCATTAAATGATTGAACACGATCAATTGCTGTTAACCAATTTGAATTAATATGTGTGAAATGTTTAAAATGACAACAATCATCTTTAGATGGATACCATCTGTTTTGATGGAATAAAATTGATTTAATTTGTGTTTCAGCTTGATAACAATTGTCAATACCATCAGTTAATAGCATAGCAATATGTATAGTATCATTATGAAAATCATAATAAGGTTGATACATTGGCTAAATTAAACAATAAATAAAGGTGATTAGAGTAAAGAATATATATTGCATAGTTTATATTACAAAATGATTATAACTAGGTAAGGAGTAAAAAAAAAATTAGGAAGCACCGGACAGTTGAATAGAATTGAAGGTTTCCAGTTCGATTCCTTGATTGGATCGTACGTAGATGAATACAAGTGAATAGTTTCATGGGATGAAGCAGTTATCCAATACTTCCTGGTTTTCAATAGTTGTCTAATTAAGGTCAGTTCTTAATGTAAATTATAAAATAAAAATACATTTTAGGTAACCAGTCAATGTTTGATGTGCTTTCTCACTAGTATCTGTAAATTCATAAATGATTCAGAAGTTTTAATGATAATTCACTACAGATGGAATCGACCAAGTTAGTCATGAAGCAGTAAGTCAACAGTAATATGTAGTTAGAGTCAACTCAACGGTAGATATTGATTAAAATTGACGATCTGAAACATTGTGCTCTGACTTGATAGTCTAAAGTAACAGTATCCGATAAGAGATCTACATATTCCAGATTCTAACCCAGATGAATAATCAGTAATATTTTAGTGAGCAGAATTGCAACTGGGTTATGCTCAGTGGTCTCATACTTTGATATTTTGGCTCAGTTCTTCTCATTTAAAGCAGTCGTTTTTTTCTATTCTAGTACCTTAACTTCTAGGTACAAGCGTTTTGCAGAAACTTTTTTATTTTGGGCTCAAGATTATGGATCGATTGAAGTTAGATGTTAACTGTTATGTCTCGATAAGCATAATAAATGATAACTTTTGGAATCCATTTATGAACCAATACTATGCGCATAATTTTATCGTATAATTGTTAAATAACTAAACTATACAGATTCATGTCCCTCTTATTATGAGCTTTATTTTGACCTATGAACTATTATTATACGATTTACCATTCTTGAATTATGCACTGTTTATTAATCACTACCTCTCACACTCACAGCCACATTTGGCCAAATCTTGTACAAATGTTGTTTCCTATTTTATGGTGTGATGTGGTCTGTTTGGTTTTTATATAAACCCAGTATGTTCGAAATATATTATTCATATCGCAGAGGCTGAGATTGGTGTTCTGAACTCAATAGGCAGGGCTAGGCAGGAAGAAGGACCGATATGGACTCTAGACTGTTCGTACGGGTTTTAGGCGTTATTGGTCCGATCGGTAATTCACTGCTCTCTAATTGACAGTATCGTTACCCTATACATTAACAGAGCACACAGGCCACAAGTTGTAACATCAACATCGTCGGATGCCAGCTCAGTGGTCTAGAGGCTAAACGTTCGCGCGTGAGTTACTGGGTCCGCGTCCCGTGTAAGAGATCGTGGATATTCACTGATGCGGAGTACCACACTAAAACGAATGGCTTTTCAAAATAGATAATGAAGAGATTGGCAAGACGGTAGAACAAAAACATATTCTGTCTGTTATGTTATACTAATGTTATATAATAATAAGACTGATGACCGAGATGTTTGTTATTGTTAGGCTGGATACTCGATCGATAAGCTGAACACTAGTGGGATCACATTACATCAGACACGTGGCTCGCAACCGATTACACAGAATCAGAGTATAAACAAAACAGTACTTTATCCAACACAATTACAAGCAATCTACACTTATTGACTTAAAAGTATAAATCACTACCGGTAAGGAAATAGCAAAGTAAATAGTAACTTAATTGTTCGTCTGTCCTTACTTAGTGGCCTATCATATCTTACTTCACTGGGCACATATCAAGATATGAACTTTTCCAATTATTATTACAAATTACCTTGGGTTATCTCGTGAAAGAAGCTATATAACATTCAGAAAATCAATATTATTGTCTTTTTCAATCTAGTGCATACTTATCGACTTGTTCCATTTAGTTTAATTTTCAGCGAAAACAAGCATGACTAGTAAAAGTGGAAATTAGGTAGTTGTTTTGTCATCATCATTTTTAACCAAGATTAATTATTTCTTATCCTAAAACACACACCATCTTTGTAGAAACTATAAGATATACGTGGAGTGGAAGTCTTTGGTAATAAGTACTTTCGAAACATTACTTGCGTATCGTGAAATAACGGAGTTAGCAGTGTTAACACTAAGTACAGGAAACTGGGAAAATGTGGCAAGTTGCTTGATAAGATCGTAATTCGTAGTCGATTGAAGTGCTTAGGACCAGTAATAAGTATGTCTAACCACTGCCTAACCCATCATGCAAAGTTAGATGGAATTGGAGTAGGTTTGAAGAAAGCTAGGAGGGACTCAGTTAACTTGACTGTTGATCTGAACCATGTTGGTAGTTACAGTCTAGCTAGTTAGGGTCTTCTTAATAACCGTGATCAATGGTCGGATTTTTTGAATGGCATGGATCACAACCAGTCACAATGGACCCGATTCATTCACTCAATAACTTACTCTAGATCTTGAGTTTCAGAATTCTTTCTTACATACCTTTTATTTCTGTCTTCACGAACGACACCGTCAATGTTTAGTCTTTTGCGCTGTCGTTATTATTACATTATTTCGACCTATTGATAATACATCTTATTAATTTCATCTCGCGATCAAAATGCATCATAAACAGAACTTGAAATGAGTTTCCCTAGTGTCAGTAGAGGATAAAAAAGCAGAAACACATTTTTACCCAGCATCATCTGTATTCAATAATGATTCCATTTGTAATTCAGTGTGAAAATTGTTCCGTATAATATTCGTTATATTTTAGTGTGACATTTATTTAGAATGATACTCTTTGTATTAACTTAATGTGAACTTCGTCCAGTATAATACACATACTTTTTGGTAATTCTGCGTAGTAGTGATTTTCTGTGTTTCTTCTGTCAGTGATACTTTAACTGTTAAAGTTGCGAACCGATTTTAACTAGATCTCAGTTGAAAACCCGGAAGCATTGGACGGCTGTTTTTGACTTCCTAGTATTGCCCATCCATAACCACGTATTCAGGATTCAAACCCAGGACCATGAGTTCAGTGGTAGTCGTAATATTACTAACTAAACATCCAATACAAGTCAGGTCACTATATAATTGAGTGTATTTGAAAAAAGTATTTGTTATCCTGTTTATGGAGTGCGGATAAAATCTTAATTTGTTCTCTTCTTTTCACTGAGCGAATCTCAGTGTTTTTCCATTCAAGTACCAGTTTCTGCAGTTGTAATATCTCTTTCAAGAACGATGTCTGTTGAAAACCCACAGTTCCCAATATACACTGTCGTAGTGTACAGTGTTGGGCTCTGATACTGATACAAGAGCTTCCTTTTCACGAGCCTAACCAGCTACTTGACTGGGAAGACTGTAAGTGTGAAGGAAGCTGTCTATCGATCAACTAAATCGAAGGATAATTGAACACTCATTCATATACATGTATATTTGTCTCAATGAAATTAAAGCCACATTTTTACACCAATGGCGTGTGCCTCATTCCCTGGAAAGAAAATCCATATATTAGCAAAACGATTGTAGCTATCACTTGTCTGGAATTTGATAGCCCCACTATATCATGCACGTATCGTCATGTGAAAATCGATAGGTCCAAATTACTCCTTCTTGTTCATCGATAAAGATACTGCTTTTCATTATCTTACCATCGAATATATTTTAAAAAATGCAATTAAACACTGATTCAGTTATTCATCGTTTAACAGATGGTCAAATTATTAATTTAGTGATTTGCTTTAGTACAACGAATGTAATTAGTCCCTTTTACAAATCTGGATAGTGTAATAAGAAGGCGAAAGTAATAAGAACTAAGTGATATTTTAGCGTAACACATTTCGAACCATCTGATCACTCATATACTTGTCAAGAACATTTATATATTAAGATAAAAGGTCAGCTAGACTAGAGGGTAAGAGGAGACAAAAATAATGAAGAAAATAATATGAGTAATATTTAGGATTGAGATCATGAACCGATTGATGTTAGACGACCATTGAAAACCTGTAAGCACAGGACGGCCGGTTCGTTCTATTGAGGGACTCCTGAGCAGTGCTCATCCACAATCCCGCTCACGGGACTCGAACCCAGGGCCTTCATTCTCGCGCGCGAACGCTTAACCTACTGGACCACTGAGCCGGCATCCAATGGTGTTAATGTCTAACCTCAACCAATCCACGGAGTTCTGATGAGAAGCCGTGACCAGTGGAGCTAATCCGTGTCGATTAGAGACAGATATCTACCCCAGTACAATGGAAGATGGTCGCGCGATTTCGTGGATTGGTTGAGGTTAGACATTAGCACCATTGGATGCCGGCTCAGTGGTCCAGTAGGTTAAGCGTTCGCGCTCGAGACTGAAGGACTTGGGTTCGAATCCCGCGAGCGGGATCGTGGATGCCAACTGTTGAGTAGTCCCAAAGTAAGACGATATGGCCGTCCAGTGCTTCCAGGTTTTCAATGGTGGTCTAACATCAATCGGTTCATGATCTCAATCAAAAACTTAACAATTTCCACAACCCCCAAACTGATAATATGAATAATAGTTGGAAACCTCATCACTCTGGATAATAAGCTAATATTACCAGGGTAGGTCTGAGGTGAGAACAAACTGTTTCTGAATACAAAAAGGGGGTTTGAATCTTGTTATGGCTGGGGCTTCAATAAACCTTAGTATACTATTTTACACTTTTGTACAACACCACAGAAGTTCTGTTAGGATCAATCTTATGAAATGTTTCAACTATGTGCTTAGCGGCAGAGGATATTGGATATTTATCATCTACTCTTATTGGGTCATTTGGTTTTATTTGTTTTTGCAACCATTTGGTACATGTTCAGACACCCAACGAATGTAATTAGTTTCGAAAATTGGACAGTTAAACAAACACGAAGTTATATTTTAGTTCAATAGACAATCTGCTTTGTTATTACAAGTAACTATGGTAACCCTAGGAACGTTGTGATATGATTACAAATATAATCGTCTTAATAAAAATTTCTTTTGTAGATCAATATTGTTGAGGCGT